GGGATTTGGAAAATTTGGAATTTGGAAGATTTGGAATTTGGGAAATTTGGAATTTGGGTGATTTGGGATTTGGAAGATTTGGGATTTGCAAGCTTTGGGATTTGGAAGATTTGGAATTTGGGTGATTTTGGATTCGGAAAATTTGGAATTTGGAAAATTTGGAATTTCATACTTCAAAGCATAAAAGAACATCATAAATTCAATCAATACACACATTAATAGTCCCCATATTTTTACTTTAGAACCAATTGACTCCCATTGTTATTTCAGGTGTCAGTATTACATTTCTAAATGAAATAATACTCGATACGTGCAAATAAGTGCTCACGACTCACATTATCATAGCTGACGAAGTGTCATTGATAAAGCTACGAACTTACTACGTGATTGATATTCAACTCCATTTTCGAGGAACATGTATGAAGTCACGTACTTGTAACCTTTGAACTAAACACGATAACCCTCAGAACCTTTATGCAATACTAGGAATATGAGGTCTCATTTAATTCAGTTTATCGTACATTAAATTAATTCCTGGAATGAAGTGATTAGAAACGAATTTTCACTTGTCCTTTCGTCTTATATTTGACTTTAAGAACTAATGAGCTGAATTGAATATTCTAGACGCATGTGGATGGCGAGAGGCAATTAGGATGCAGAGCATGAATGCTAAAATTAATTGCTTAGCCAGACATGTATTAAAAATGCAATATGGAGCAATTTAGAGATGAGGTTCTCAACTGGACTCTGAATGATACGTTATTTTTGTTGGAACGTTTAGCACACGTGTTGATGAATCATCGAAGTCTCAATCCATAACTGTTGGAGCTATGTTTGATTTTCGGACGTCAAAATGAAAGTACAAGAATTAAATTCGATGCTGAAACGAAGTTTAAGTCGTCACATGTCTTATAGAATCCACATTCTAGGTTTAGGTGAATATGGGACTAGATTTAGCTAAATTATGCTTTGAATATCCACAAATCAGAGCTATGTTTGATTTTCGGACGTCAAAATGAAAGTACAAGAATTAAATTCGATGCTAAAATGAAGTTTAAGTCGTCACATGTCTTACAGAGTCCACATTCTAGGTTTAGGTGAATGTGGGACTAGGTTTAGCTAAATTGTACTTTGAATATTCACAAATCAGAGCTATGTTTGATTTTTGGGACGTCAAAATGAAAGTACAAGAATTAAATTCGATGCTGAAATGAAATTTAACTCGTCACATGTCTTACAGAGTCCACATTCTAGGTTTAGGTGAATGTGGGACTAGGTTTAGCTAAATAATAGTTAGACTACCCAAATTATAGTTTGAATATCTTTTCAAATCGTTCAAAGCACTTTATTCATAGGAGATTCCAGCCTCCTCAAACCTCTGAATTACTCAAGAATTTAATACGATCAAAAATAGAACCAAGTGTCATCCAGATCACCCAGATGCTAAAGAAATAAAAATAAGATCAAGATTTCTACCCCGACCTTTACGAACATCACTCGATTGCGCAATAAAAATAAATTTGTTAAGAAGTACTTTTGTCAATATCAATGAATATTAATGCCTGGATAAACAGACAAGGTGTATGTCTATTAATATTCGTCTCCATCTTGTAATCTAAATGCTTTTGCGAATGTTGAATGACACCAATGTTTTTCTCGTATGTTAATTATTTTTCGAACTAAGACTTAAGACGTTGAGCCGATAATATTGTAGCTAGCTTCTTGAACAAGCTAACTATTGATGATGACCAGGAAGTGGCGAAGTATACCGAGATATGAATAATGAATGCATTTCGTGTTCGAAAATATGTTTACAAAAAGAGCATCAAGGAGTGATTTTGATAATTTTTATGATTATTGTGGTCAACTAACCTTACCTAACTTTTATGGTTCCATATTAACCTTGTTGCTATCAGGTCTTATACTAAGTCAACCTAACCTAACTATTGTTATTGTTCAACTAACCTAACCTAACTTTTATAGTTCCATATTAATTTCATTGCTATCCAGTCTCATACCAAGTCAATTTAACCTAACTACAGAGGTCTTTCAAACTTACTAACTGCAATTTTATACTTCCATCATAAGATTCTGAAAGTTTCAACACTATCATTGGATTTACGTTTGGTTATATTTAAATTTGAGTAAAGTAGAAAAATAAATATGTGGACTCTCTAAGACATAGCTTGAGGAAGCTCACATGATTTCTTTGGATTTAACCTAACTTCTACGGTTCCCTATTGATCTCATTAATATCAGGTTTCATATCAAGTCAATCTAACCTAACTATTGTTATTGTTCAACTAACCTAACCTAACTTTTATAGTTCCATATTAATTTCATTGCTATCCAGTCTCATACCAAGTCAATTTAACCTAACTACAGAGGTCTTTCAAACTTACTAACTGCAATTTTATACTTCCATCATAAGATTATGAAAGTTTCAACACTATCATTGGATGTACGTTTGGTTATATTTAAATTTGAGTAAAGTAGAGAAATAAATATGTGGACTCTCTAAGACATAGCTTGAGGAAGCTCACATGATTCCTTTGGACCTAACCTAACTTCCACGGTTCCCTATTAACCTCGTTGATGTCTTCTACCAAACCTAATCACACAGATCCTTCTTCAAACTAACTAACTACAATTTTCTACGTATCTCTATAATCATATCTGATAATTTAAGAAGACGTTTCGTACAAGTGTCGTGGATTGTTAAAACCTAACCAAACCTAATCTAACCAAACAAATCCTTCCCCAAACTAACTACAATTTCCTACGTGTCTCTCCAATCATATCTGACAATTTAAGAAGACATTTCATACGTGTCGTAGATTTTTAAACGTCGTTTAACGCGATCGTAAATTATGCATCACGGTTGCACACGATCTAAATATTGCATAACAACGTCCCAACTGTTCCAGACACTTCGAAAACAAGTCACGACCTTTTCCCAGTGAATCGTTCCTCGTGAATAGGTCTCCTTTTTCTGATAAAAATAATGCAAACGTATTTCAGTCGTGTCACATAAATATTTTCTTTCGACGCATATGTCGCGAGGAGGAACGATGTAACTGAATAAATAACATTTGAGTATGATCGGGTCGTAAAAATTCTGAGACCACAAAAACAGTTCGTTCAATAACACTGCTTGGAGAATGGAGGTATTTGTAAAAAAGAATCGATTATGATAATGTTAGGTTAGTAGAAAAAGGGAGGACCTTTGTACCACTTTGATGTCGTTTATCATTTTGTAACTTTATGACAAAAAGTGGTTCAATGCTTGTTTACATAAAAATAAAATAAATCTTGTTAAATGTGAACTTTTTCATTATTTATAAGCTTGAGATAAATTTTCATTGTTATGTTATGTTACGGTTGATAAAAAGTGGTACAATGGTTGCTTAAATAAAAATAAAATAAATCTTGTTAAATGTGAACTTTTCCATTATTTTTAAACTCGAGATAAATTTTCACTGTTAGGTTATGTTACGGTTGGCAAAAAGTGGTTCAATGGTTGCTTAAATAAAAATAAAATAAATCTTGTTAAATGTGAACTTTTTCATTAGTTTTAAACTCGAGATAAATTGTTAGGTTGGTTCCATTGTTGTTTACGTGATTCTCCATTTTTAATTCGTCGGAAAATGCAGACATTTTATTGGAGAAAGTTTGAAGTATTTGCGAAGCTTTTCTGAAAGTTCTGTAAACGAATCGTATAAAAATTTCCTAAACCTTGAAATTGAAGGAAGAAAACAAAAATACAAAAATATCTGGAAAACAATGAAACAGACGATGTTAAAACGTAACTGGAGAAATAAAAAACAAGGAGTTTTATTCTCTGCGATGTATACTGTTACAGTAAAGAGTTTGTTCTATTTACATGGTACTTTAAAAACTCTTTTTTTATTTCCTTGTTTACTTAACCTTTAGTTAAAAAAATGATGTACATTTGCAAATAATTACCATTATAATATCGTTGGACTATTTTTATTTGTTTGTGGTAAACAACTGCATCAATCATCTACTGCTTTACAAATAAAATTTATTTATTTTTAGAGGACTGGATTTTACTTTTTTTTTTGAAACTGTAGGTGATCATAATATTATAGAAAAAGTGAAACTTAAAAAAAATCTTATGAAACAAGCTTGAATAATTTGCAAATCTTAATTTTTGTTTAATAATTTTTAAATAATTTTGATGTTAGTAAGATTTTGTAGTAAGATTTGTTTCAAATATTCTTGCAAAAAACTTGCAATGGGTTCAAATAAATTTTTGAATTAAAATCATCGTAAAATTAAAATCGTCTCGTTATATGGCCGTAATAGTCAACTCGAGAACATTACCTTAGGAAACAAGTATCACGTGCAATATTTCGTAACAGTAACAGGAAATGACCGTAAGTTAAATTTGCTCAACAGTGCAAACTAATAAACATACAATGTGCAATAGTATTAAAATTTGTTTGATGAACAATGCTTCACAAAATGCTAAGTTTCCGTAAATATTTACTAGCTCGAAATAATTTGCAAGTCGGTGTTCGTGTCAAAATTATCGCCTTTCAATTTCCGAAGTTGACAAATCCTTAAATTTCCAAATCTTAATTTTCTTAATTCATAAATTTCCCATTTCGTAAGTTTACTACTTCCTAAATTTCCACTTCCTAAATTTCCAAATCTCTTAATTCCCCAATTCCTAAATTTCCAAATCTCTTAATTCCCCAATTCCTAAATTTCCAAATCTCTAAATTCCCCACTTCCTAAATTCCCATTTCCTAAATTCCACAATTCCTAAATTCCCATTTCCTAAATTCCCAATTCCCTAAATTTCCAAATCTCTAAATTCCCAAATCTCTAAATTCCCCACTTCCTAAATTCCCCAATTCCTAAATTCCCCACTTCCTAAATTCCCCACTTCCTAAATTCCCCACTTCCTAAATTCCCATTTCTTAAATTCCCCAATTCCTAAATTCCCATTTCCTAAATTCCCAATTCCCTAAATTTCCAAATCTCTAAATTCCC